AAAAAAAGAGAGAGGGACACAAAAGTAATCAAAGAGAGAAAACGACTGACAAGAAATTACACTTTTCATTTAAAATGTTCGTGGGTCTTCATTTGGAAAACGGAGTCAAGTCTCCGTGTGTAGAGACTTTGAGGGAAAAGGGTTGAAATATTTACATGAACAAAACTTTCCACCTACCGCGTTTGGCGCAGTAAGCACTAGCAATATTCCAGACTAGTAAAATACATTCCGGAGTGTAGTTCTCTTCAGAAACGTGGTGGCTTGCTTGAGATTTGCCGTAGTTTAGTGAACATTTCTCTCGTCTCTGAAGGGTTTTGGAGTTGAAAGCTCAGCATCCCGGGGTCGGGATTGAGCGGATTTCCCTCCAGCTTTCCTCTGTCCCCCCTCCCCCCAACCCTCCAAGCGTAACCTGCGTTATATTTTAAACAAAACAGGAGTTAGCAGCTCGACTGTTCTGCTGTATGCCCGCACTAGTTAGCAACAGCAGCAGCCTGCGAGATACTGCAAGCGAAGTGAAAAACTAACGCTTAAACGAGCAACAAGTTAATTCGGTAAAACTTAAACTTTGCTGGCTGCCTTCGGAAGAGTCTGGTCTGGCCAAGATTGTTGGCTCCATGCTTGCAACGGCACCCCAGTTGTTTCATGACTAGGCTTCGCGAACATTTTTTTCACATCCTTCTTTTAATAAATGCCTATTTGTCCGAATGGACGCCTTTGGAAAGTGGATGTAGACGCAATACTGTCTTGGAGGTAGGGAAATGAAAGTGTTTACCGTATTTAGTATTCATTTACTTATAGTGGGAAATGATTAGGTATGTACTAATATAACCGTGGAGACCAACTGCCTAATTAGCATTTACAAATTAAAATGTTAAACATAAAGACATATTCCGTATACAGTCTGCTATATGTAAAACACATTCGTGCATAATACGGCAGTCAACTGCAAACGTGAAGTTGACTGGCTTCCAGATATGTAGCGTTCTTGGCTAATGTGAGCTGCTCTGGGTTTTTCAAGCTTACCCACGCTGTAGTTCATAGTTCTTATGACCACCTTGATAGCTGCACTAGGGATATTACACTAACCAATCTGAAGAAATTAGGAAAATACACAGATTACTTTTAAAGTCTGACGATAACAGCGATAAACACAATAGGCAGGCAGATCATTTATCCATACCTTTTATTCTGAAGGCTTCACTCGGAACCTTATTTATTGTTTTGAGCATAACAAAGCATTTCGGGTTCTGTAATAAATTAGAACAATAATACAGAACTGCACATGCAAAGCAAGATAGCTTTTAAAACAGGAGTCCTTTCTTCCCCTGCTACATAATTTTGATATTACCCAATGTGTCGTGCTCAGGGTTCACCTCACACAGACTGTAATGAGAGTTGCCAAATGAATGGAACAATCTATCTGTTGACTTGAGCTCAACGTAGACATATTACATATGATGGAAACCTAATGCTCCCACCGATGTTAAAATCAGGGGGATATATAGTTCCAATCCAGACCCTTGAACATGTAGATTTTTATTTATCAGAATAACTGTGCATGTAGCGACATAAAAAGGGGATTTACAAGTTGGAGTCTTTTAAAAGAGACTGTGAAAACCTTAGCCCTGCTTTTATTAGACATGATATCATTCCGATTTGCGTGCTTGCCATCTCAATGGCTTTTCACATGTAAAAAAAAAGGATCCATATGCATTACATAGATTTTCTTTTACGCACATAAGGACTGGCAGTCTCTTAGTGGATAAGAGGGTGAATAATTGTGATACACCAGAAAACAGTTCGTGCAGTTTGGCAGCTCTGGTTATTATTATTAGATTTTTTGACATTTGAACTTGTCTATTGTCTAAGGAGCTCAGTGCAGATTGCAGTAGGTCAACCTTAAGGCTGCTCTTTTTGGCATTGCACACAAACATGCACACGCTGTCTGTTCTCCTTGTGTGAATGCAGCAGCTACAGTTTTATCGTGCCTTTTTTTTTTTTTTTAATGCACATCTATTTATATTTATCTAATCCGCTTGGGGTTTTCACGGTCGTGTGATTAGTTTGTACGTGCCTTCATTTTACACCCATTCCTCCAATCT